TCAGCATCTTCAGAAAAGCCACGCAGAGCATACTTGTCCAAAAATTCAAAATTTAAATTTTTCCTGTCCGTTGTACTTGAGATAAATCAACTTTGAATTTTGAGTTATGACTGTGTCATTTGATGCGCGATGTTTGGAACTCTCGCCGTTTTGAGATCTCAACGCTGAAAACGAGCTTACTTTACTTTTCGTTTGGTTGGCACTCCCCGGCCACAGCAGGTCACCGTTTCCCGCGAATCGCGTGATCCGGCCCGCCACTCCAAGGACGGGCCGCGGCTTTTGTGACAAAAAGCCAAGTGGAACGAAAGCGGGAAAGGTGTTGATCCTCCCCATCATTGTTCCGGTTTCGCGCAGAGTGTGGCCTGCGGCAGACAATGCCGACTTTGCCGAAGCCAGACGGGCGGCGACCTTCTTTTTAAAAAACCGTCCCTTTCTACGAGTCCCGTTAGGTTCCTCTATTATTGTTGTTGACCTTGCCCGGGCGGACGCCGCTGGACGTCGCACCGGACAGTGCGGCAGTGGTTACGCAAGAGGCTGCTGCCTCGCAGTCACCGGGAAAAATAGATCGGAATTTCAAGTCGTGTGTTGATGCGCGAGCGTGGCCGCCTGCACAACGCGTTTGTCGATTTCGAAACCAAGTTTTGCGAGGGGGGCGTGCGCTTTTTCTCCTTTTTACCCGGCCGACATGACACGCTGTGGCAAAAGGTAAAGATATCGGAAAGGCATACAGTGCGGGCACCAAAACAAACACCGTATGCGAGGGAGGATATCGCCCGTTATTGTTGAATAAGCCGCCCGGCCGGCCGGCATGACTTGTCGAATAAGCTTATCGCGCGCATCGCGCTGACCGGCCGGCGACTTCCGGTGCGAGACTGCCAGACGATATGAGAAATAACCTGTTGTACGTTTTCTGATCACACGGGCCGCGATATGGCGCGCAGGGACGAACAGAGTGACCACGGCCCGGCACGGCCCGGCCGGGTCCAGCAGGGACAAAAACAGGCGAAACAAAACGAAAACTCTGGATTTGTGGGACGCGCGCAGGCGAGCACCTGGCGGCCAGTTTCCGCCGGCCGGCGTGGAGTAAAAACGCGCACGGCCTGGGGGAAAGGAAAATGCTGATTTCCCTGGCAAAGCAACGCGAACACGGACGTCTCACTCCGGCACGCAATATCGGGCCGGTTGTCCGGCAACGCGCGCTCGAACATGAAATATGGAGCGGCCACTGAGGCGGCGCGGCGGCGAGGCGGCGGGGCGGGGGAGGCAGGCCGTCCAGCCGAGGCGGTGCAATTATTGCAATCACTCGTTGTCTACTTCTCACCCCGGCGGGGTTGCCGGACCTCGGCAGGCCTCGTGCAGGGGCAGGCCGAGTACGTGGCAACCCCGCCCCACCCTTGCCGGCGACACCAACGGGCCACGCCGCGCCACGCCACGCCACGGCCAATGGCGGTAGGGCGAAGGCAACACGTTTCAGCGAACTGCCGTGCCGCCCAAATGATTTATGCCCGGAGCGAGAAGAGAGGCCCGCACGGCCCCGCCGCCCCGCCTCGACCACCTCACCCACCGCGCCCCGCCCCGCCCCGTGCGGTGCAAGTTGACTAAACGACGCGTCCAGAAACCACGTAACGCCGTCCCGCCGTCCATAACGCGCGCGTCAGGGACTCGCGGGGCGTCGAAGACACTTCCATTACCGCCCCAGATGCGGCGCCGCTGGCCGGGCCGCGCCCTGCAAACATCGGGATTTGAATTTAAATTAGAAGAGAGCGACTGAGGAGCCAGAGAGGCAGGGAGGCACACCGGAGAAGAAGAATGGGGAGGGGCAAGAGGAATTGCCGGGGATTGAGGGAATTTACCGTGATGAAGAATAATGCGGGTGTACGGCGGAAACGCGACGCCGGGCTTTGACGGAGGGGAGGGGGAGGCGGAGGGTGAAAAAGAAGCAGGAGGAGAAGAAGAAGAGGGAGAAGTTGGCCAAACGCGGCGACTTTTGTCTCCGGCCGAAAGGGTGTCATGCACGCCTGTACACACCGTGAAGCAGAAATGTGTACTACAACTGGTGGCGACAGCTTAAAAGTTTGCAGACACCTTCTCTCCCTCCCTCTCCGTCCAGAGCAAGCGGCAGCGGCGTGGCGGCCGTGGTGGCGGAGGAGCGCCATTTGCAGCATCAATAATTTACACTAATCCTTGGCGGGGCGGGGCGAGGCAGTACACTATGTGCGCCAATAAAACACGCAGCTGTCCGCTTAAAGGTGCGTTCCACTGCGTTCCCCGCCCCGCGAATTAGACTACGGGCCTTATCAGGCCTCCGCACGCACGCGCCCCAGTCACCTCGGTGACGACGGCCACCTCGACCACCTCGGCCACCTCGTGCAGGGACTTGTCGACGACGAGTACGGCACCGCCTCGCCTTCTCGGCGGCGAAAATTCCAGCTCGTTCCGTGGAAATAACGACAAAACGTGTCCGAGTGTCCGCGGCACGTCGCGCCGGCACCTCCACACCGCCGGCTGCCGCTTATCAGGGGGAGGTCGTGCGCCCCCCCCCCCTCCCATCCGCACCCACACGCCAAATGGAAATGAGAAAGAAAGTCAAACAAACAGGAATAAGCGTGCGTACTGCTCGAAGGAAAATACCTCTTTTCTGTGAGAAGGGGTGGCGGCTGCCAAGTCCCAGTACATGCGATTGAGCAGTTGTTGTGAGAGCGACTAACAGGGAGCGCGAGCTTCTCTAGCGGCCTCCACACGCCCCGCCCCGCCACGCCACGCCACGCGCTTGAACAAGGCGCATTTTTCATAAGCGCGCTTCTTGGCGGCCCCCCAAAGTGTATCTAAACTGCAGGTGTCGGTGCGCGCGCTGCCAGGCTGTCACCGAGGGTAATTATTAATACGTTTCCTACACTTTGAGGCGGCCAGCCACTTCACGGGGCGGTAGCTGGTGGCACGCGGACACCGCCGCACCTACGTGCAGCAACCGTCGCCGAGCCATAATTATCCACTAAGAGGGCGGTCGGAAGGAGAGGCGACAGTTTCAGATTCTTTTTCCCTTGTCGCATGGACGGCGTTTCCCTGTTTCTACACGAAGTGTTCTTCGGCGAGGCTGGGCTGTCCAAGGCGAGGCGGGCGGCGCCCCGCGGCAACAAGGGGTCGCTTTACATGGCCGCGTCGCGACGCCGGGCCGCTCAGGTTGGGACTGCGACTAATAAAATATGCGTTTGGTCGCGGTCCAAGCGGCGGGCCTGTGCGGCGCTGGGCCACCCCGACGGCCGCCCCATGCCGAAGGACCGCGTCTGTCTCTCTCGCTCCACCGCTGTCCGTGCCGAGTGCGCGACAGAGACAGCGAAACGATCCCTCAGCCTGCCGGGGCGCCGCGCGCACTTAGAGCGACGCCGAGTGACGCATCGCCGGCTATGCATTATTTCCTACACAGGTACCAAAGCAAAGCAAAACTCATTACTCCTGCCCGGTGCGGCGCGGCTGTAAAAACCGTGTTTGACTCATTACTTAGCCCCGTGTTTAGTCTGCTAGCGGCGAAAGATCAGCCGCTGTGTTGTTTTTTCCGTCGTGTCCGGTGGCGATTTACAGAGAACCCACCGTATCAAAGTGGGGACCGCCACCCAAGTCCACGACCGACAAGTGCAGAGAGGAGAAATGCGATATTCATTCAGTTTTGTCTTTTTTTCCCCCCGAGGTAATGTCTTCCTCGGTCTCCGCAGTGGCAGCGCGATCACCGAGCAAGAAAAATAATTCCAGTTCCGGAATGACGCCCGTTCATCACAGGAAGTGCAGGAAGAGACACCGACACCCGCCAAGGAGCGCGCGGGGGTGCGTTCAGAAAAAAAAGCACGCAACAAAATATTGGAATAGCCCGGTTGCAGCTATATGCGATCTTTAATTCATACAGACCGCCATATTTCTTGCCGAATTGCCAGCAAACACCTCATTCCTCTTATCAATAGCAAAGCGCGCCCCTCAAAGAATGACCCTCGAGATACTCCAGCCAGCCAGAGGACAGAAAAAATGTGGGAGACTAAGAAAAGGGCGAGCGAGAGGGACGAAAAAAACAGATACGGTATATATATAAAATGAAAAAAAGTGCGTGGGGCGATAGCCGGTGGGGTGTGGGCGGAGAAAGATAAACACAGCGACACGGCCATGCAGGCCATGCAGCTCGAGATCGATAACAATTTCATTTTCGGCCGTCGAGGAGGACGAGTCCCCCCTGCGGCACGCCGTGCCGCACGCCGTGGCACGCCGTGGCACGCGGCAAGGCACTCGCGTGACGCCACACTGTCGTGTCGGACACGTCGCGAAGCGCGGCGCACTCGCGGCACTCTCAAGAGTTCATAAAGCATCGCGCGGGCGCCACCCACACGCACCGCCCCGCCCCGCCCCCGCCACCACCCACCGCCCCGCGCTGCCCCCTCCCGCGGCCCGCGCCGCGATGATGCTCTATTTTATTCCTGCCTAAATGGGTGTTTGCCGGCGAAAAGGCCCAGGGGAGAAGCCGGCACCCCGTCAAGGCTGTGTCTTACGACGTGTAAACGGCGGGCGGGTGCCGCCGTCTGCACTTGGATTCGCGAGTCGAGATACTGTCTCCGCGTCATTCTGATCAACATGCGCGTCGAAAAATTTGAGGGACCACTTGTCCGTTAAAACATGAAACAATGTAACAAAAATAAAAGTAGCTTAAATTTGATCCTGTGCCGTGACTAATCACGGGCAGACACTTTTTCTTACTTTTTGCATTCGAAATTGTTTCTCTTTGACGACCTCAGCTCTGAAACAGGTTAGATTTTCTAGAAAACCATCATCTATTGGAACACACACACACATGCCATGAAAAGAATCAACACTATGCCTTTGGCAGTTACTGTGAACCACAGGAGTTTTCGTATGCTCCGCTGCGCGTGACTAAATTTATCTCTACAATAAACCAAAACACTACAGTCCTCTATGACGCTAGAAGCCGCGAATGCGTGCGACTACACTGCAGGAGTACTTACATGAACAGTTATCCTATGCGCCGGGTGAGCGAGCTCGGAGCCTCAGAAGCCACAACAATAAATCCAAACGGTCACACACTAACAGCGCGCAAAGCAACAAATCGGAAACTCGAGGCCGCGAACGAGCCGAGAAATGATAGCACAGAACAAAACAGCAAAACACTAATCAAAACAAAACTCTAAGAGAAATAAGCAGCACTGGGTCAAATTTTGAAGAAAATAAAAACGGGTACACTACGAACGCGTCCTGGCGCACAACTATGGCTACACACTAAAAACACACACACGGTCGTGAAAAGTATCAATCCTCACAGTGAATCTATCCGACGACCACACTGACGCACTGGGTTGTCACTGACACTGTCACTGTCACTTTCCGCACTGTCACTCGCGCTGGCCGCACCGCGCGAGCGCGCCAAACGACGTCCGGACGACACGACGCGCCAGACGCGCTGCCCGGACGGACACGGCACAACAACAACACAGCACGCCGACGGCCGCCACTCTCGCAGCGCAGCGTCAATTGTTCCCTTGTTCTTGTTCCATATTTTGCATGTGCATGTATGAAAACCGGCTGCCGGACTAAGCCTAACGCGTAATCAGGCCGTATCCCGGCGACAGAGCGCGCTGCGAGCGGGAGAGGGAGCGGGAGAGGGAGGCGAGGGGGAGGGGAGAGGCAGGGGGAGGGGCGCGACCCACTGGGGAGGGGAGCTGGCTGGCAGGCCGGCGGCAGGCCTGGCGTGGAGGGGAGGGGAGGCTCCAGATTTTGATGGCTGACTCGTAACTCAGGGAGGGGGCTGGGCCGGGCGTGCTGGCGGCATGGTCTGTCCCGCCTCGGCACGCCGCGCGCAGGGCGGCAGCGCGGCAGCAAGGGGAGGGCGGGGCGGCCGGCGGGCGCTGCCAACCCAGCGGCGTGAAATGAGCGGCAAACTTTAAGCCCGTCCAAGTACCCAGTTCGGCCGGCGGGAGTCGCCAGGCCGCCAACACCCGCGATAACACGCGCGCGGGAAACTGGGTCAGAAACAGGTCGGAAAAGGCGCAGAGTGACGGAAAATTCGGTGCCGCCAGGTTGGCAGCGAAGGGGTGAGCCGCGTGTGGCGGGCCGGCTCTTGCGGCTCGTGCGGTGAACAGCGAGCGGCCACTACTGCTTTCCGAGGCTTGTAATTATTTGGATTTAATTGAAATGGCTCGCAGGACAAATTACCCGGCTAGCCGCACGCCCTCTTCGGGGCAATACCGCGCGGCCGGCATGCGCGGGGCGGCAAGGCTCGGCGGGGAGCGGCCAAGCCTCGCCAAGCGGTGCCTTGACCAAGACGCCGTTCGGTGTAATTGCTCAATCCGATTTGCATCACATTCCGCTCGCTTTTCCGCAGCCGTGCGGTCATTGAAGAAGGTGCACTCGATGCGCAGGGCAGGCAGGCACCTGATGTACATGAATCGGACCCACTGGCCCGGAGACGGCTTCCCGTCTCACACGTGCCCGGACTTTGGAGGCGGAGGCTCAGCCTCGGCAGCCCGGCGTGTTTGTTTATTGCCATTAATTGTCGCCGAGGCAACAGAGACGTTTTCTTGCGACACTTGAATAGCGACTCGCGCACAAAAACCTTCCGGGTCGACGGGCTTCCCCGTTTAGGGAAACGCGGACCGCGATGAGCGATGGCGCGATCATGTGACGAGGGGCGCGAGAGTTGAAAAAGAGAGCAATTATGGTCGGCCCACTGCCTGACTTCGCTGCAACGCAGCTGGGAGACGCTGCAGGCTGTGGTGAGGGTCAGACTGGGTGCGGGGGGAGGGGGAGGCCGCCCGGGGCAGGGTCGCGCCGGGAGGGGGAAGGGGGTTGGTGGCCAGCCAACCAGGCGGCGGATCGACCAACAAAAGACTAACTCAGCTCCTAAAAGCTGGGCACAATGACGAGGACGGCGACACCTCTCCTCTCCGTCTGGCGCAGGTGGCGGTGTTGCCAAGTGGCCGTGTGTGGAAACGCGCCTGGGACGAGGGGGAACATTTTCGAGATAAACTAATGAATCTCGGTCTTGGTTTTGCTGTTCGAATTTCAATGAAAATTCGCGACAAACTGGGCAGCGGCGGGATTAAAAGCCAGCGGCGCTGTCCCTCTTTCCGGCCACATTAAAGCCGGATTACGAGAGATACAGTGGCGTGGCCGGCCTCGCCGGGCCGTGCCGGGCCATGCCGGCCGCAAGTGGACAATGGTTCCACCTAGGCTTGATCGGCTCGCCCAGACATCCCTTAAACCCGCGCGGTAAATCCCCTTCTCCACGCACACACACACATACACTCACACTCACAGGCCCGCGTGCAGTCGGATGGTATCGGTTCATTAATATCCACGCCTCTCCCAGCTGTGGTCAGTTTCCAAGTTTTGATGGCGCGACCGCTGTGCATGCTCTGCGCTCTGCAGCGAGGGTTCCAATGAGCCATGATTCATCCCAGCATTAGAAGCAGCAGGCTGCGCTGCCAAGCTGGAGTTTTCACTCCCTATTGTACAAGTTTAAAAATAAATGATTGAAAAATATATTTTTAAATTTTCTTGAAACAGTTGCGCTTACTGTTGAAAACGGAATATTCTAAAATTGTGTTAAAACTTTGTGTTAAAAGCAAAGTTTTTTTGATGCTTGGCTGGCCGGCCCGGCCGGCTCCACGTTTCTCCACGTGATCGAGTACCGAGTGCGCGGTGCCGTTCAAAGAGGCGCGGCAATGCTCGATGAAGACATAAATTGGTTTCGGTCGGCGCGGTGCGGCGCGGCGACGCGAAGGCCCCGGGGCGCATCACTCCGTTCCCCAAAACATTTCCTCTCCTTTCGGGCTTTTCAGCGGGAGGTAAAGAGTATGCCTCTCGAGATGATGGATCGCTTCTGAAACGAGCAACGCCTGGCAGGAAGCGTCTTTCAATCGCTGCGTACAAAACCTGGGTCGGTCCATCCGGGCGGCAGGGCCAGCGGGGCCGGCAGGGCAGCAGAGAAAACCAGAAACGAATCCTATGCGAGCCGAGCCCAGGCCGAGTCGTGTAACAAGGCCCCGCCGAGCCGAAAGGCCGACCGTGTGTGCGTGTGTCTGTCTGTCTGTGTGTCTGCGAGTGTGTGTGTGAGTGCCCCGCTGGTTGGCTCAACCCTTTCGGGGCGGTCGCTGCAGTGCCCTGGCGTCGGGCCAGTAGTACATCCATTCCTCAAGTCAGTGCCGTCCGAAAGGCCGAGAGGGCTGGCAGGGCTGGCAGGGCTCGCCGAAGGGCTGAACATCTTGCTCATGCTCGCCCTGCAAAGCCCTTCGGCGACCCCTATTTACCCACAAGGGCTTGGCAGCGGGGCCGGCCGCCACGGGGATCACGCGCGCCCACAAGATGGCCCCGCAGTGGCCCCGCAGCGGCCCCGCAGCGGCCCGGAGTCTTTTGGCGTCGATGGAAAGCGGCGGGGTTACGACCCGCGAATCCCGGCCTCGAGGTCTTCAGCGCCCCTAACGGCCGGAATATGAAACAGCCGCGAGCCCCATCGGTCCCATCCAGCTGCAGCACCCCGCAGCAAGCACCAGGTGCCGCTCAGCCGCGCCGCCGCGGCCGCCTCGGCGTACAACATGAAATCGATGCATCGACAACCAACACAATGTCGTCATACTGCAAAACGAAAACGTGTTCGAGAGGGAGCGAGACAGCGAGACACTTGCCGAGACAATGAGATCTATCTATAACACGACCACGACGGCGGCGGCGGCGGTGGCGGCAGCGCGCGCAAGCAGGTCAACTTTCTTGCAAAAAGAAGAATAGCATTATCAAGCCGTTCGCGCCGTGGCCCGCTGGCTGGCTGGCAGGCTGGCGTCTGCCCGGCTGGCTGACTGGCTGGCTGACTGGCTGCCTGGCGTCGTCTGCCCGGCTGCCGTAATCGACGGCAGGTCTCATAAACATGACGGGTCGTCATCGCCCCGCCAGGCGTGGCACGCGTCCTTGCCGTCAGCTGAGCGCCAAAACAAACCATTAAGCGTCTGTGTGTGTGAGTGTGCGTCCGTGTGTGTGCATGCAATGGCCGCCGTTACAGTGGAGTAGCAACAAGCCCCCTCCCAGCGGCCCTCCCAGTGTAGTATCGGGAAATGACGTTGCCGCTTCCGTTCGATTTTCCCTTCTTTCGCCACTCCGGCTGTGCGCAGAGCGCAGAGCCCGAAGGACTTGGACTAGTTTGGCCGGAGACTTGGCAAGTATTCAATGTCAGCGTGAAGATCGGCTCCATGAAGGCGGAGGCTTTTCGCTTCCTTGCCGCCGAGCCAGCCGAGCCAGCGCAGATCAACCCAAGCCGTTTTTATTTGCGTCTGCCTTTTGGCTGTGCACCATTTTCGCGTTCCTTCGCCTATCCCTCGCGCGGCACCCGGTTCGCTACCTGGTGCTTTCTCCGCGGGGCGCTGCGGCCTTGGCGGGCCTTGGCAGTGCAGTGTCCCCAAAAAGCGCGTCCGCATTGTGCGTCGTCGCCCGCAGCGCTCTTGCGCAAAAACTCAAGGCCACGTCACCCAAGGTGCGGCGGACAATGGCCCGCATTGGACGCGGCGGCGCGGCGCGCCCAGAGGGCAGATCGGCGGGGTGCTCGGCGAGGCCGCCGTCGACCGCCGTCAGCTGGAACGTGACTGTTGGCGCGAAAAGTGAAGCAGCCGGCCGTCGGCGGAGGTGCGCGCCGTGGTGGCGGGGCGGGGCAGGCCACTGGCCGCCGGCCGAGTGACTGACTGACGCGGCCAGTCTATCGGCGTCCGGCAGCGCCGACGCACGCCGCGCGAGCCAAAGCACCGCCCCGTTCTCATATTTCCCGCCGACGCGCCAAAAAGGGGAAACATTATGAAAAATTAGTCGCCCTCATTGCGGGGTGCCGGGTCCGTTCCTCCGCGGCGCTTCATCCTTTCAAAGTAGTGTTTCCACAAAGTTTCCCTGCTGGCCGTCGGCCGCATCACCGCCCGGCCGGAAAAAAAAATATGAGAATGCTCGCTAGGCCGGGGAAAATATTGGAGGGGGCATAAATTTGGGGCCGCATCACGCCCACGGCCACGCGGTCCATGAAGGCAAGGCGCGCCGGCGCCCCGCGTCGGCCGCGTTCGAAATAACTTAATTTCGTCACGGCCATCCTAAATCACGCACTAATCCTGCCGCTGGCACGCAACCCCATATTTTTACGCAGCGCGGTGCCGAAAAGGCAGGGCGCTACCCCTACGCCGTGGCGCGCCCTGAGCACGCACTGCACGCAGAACCCTCCCTCGTGTCAAACGCATCCTCTTCAAAAGGGATAACAAAAAAAGAAATGGTAATCACCAATTTTCAATGTCATCCCTGCAGCTTCACACTGCGTTTATACTTCTGCGGCGGCGGGCTGGAATAACGCGTTTTGTTTTTCTCTTTGTACTTTTTTGTCCGCAGGTGAGGCTAACTGGATGGCGATACCAGGCGCGCGCGCACGCATTCCTGGACGGGGAGCTCTCAGCGCTGATGGCG